CTTCCGCATGGAGGAGGAGCAGAAGATTTACAATGAGCAAGGGGTGGAGGCCTATGTAAAATACCAGCTGGACCATGAGAACGAGCCCTTCCTCCCTGGGGCTGCCTTCCCCTTCGTCAAGGTGAGCGTCCACCCACCTAAGCTGAATCTGCACCGTGATCCTGACCCACAGCCTTTGGGGCGAGGGGAGCGCTGCGGGCTGCTTGCGTGGGGAAGGGATGGGGAATGAGCGGAGCGGTGGAAGGGATGTAGCCAGAGAGCAAACCGAGGTCAAATAAACCTCCCGGCAAGTGACGCGCTTCTTCCAGGACTGAGGAAACGCTGAATTTTCCAAATTGGCAACTGAGCCCAAGAATTGAAGAAATCGTCTCTTTGGATCATATTTGAAGTTTCCCTTTAGGGAATTCTCATATTATTTTTTTTTTCATTACAATTTTTTTATCCTTTTAAATTGGCTGAATTTAGCCTTGCTACAGCGTCAGCCAATTTCTAATTTTGACATGTTGAAATGAGGCATTTTGAACTTCAAAAATATTTTCTGATTTCTGCTCCAGTTCCACTGGATTTAGTGCAGTCTGTGTTGGCCCTCACTGAAGCCATCTCTTGCCTGTTCCCAATGAATAAACTAATCCACTGGGTGGGGAGAGACTCAGTCTGTTTCTGGTTGCTTGAAAAACACTTAGCGATAACTTTGGGCTAATTTATTCTCATCTCCTAATGAAAACTTGAAACCCTTTGTGTTTGAAGATAGAAGAGTAGCTATGTATTTTTTTTTTTCCCCCAAATCAGTCTTTTTTCCCAGCTAAAGCTGCTTGCTGATGTCAGCTTGGCTCAGGGGGTAGTTGGGGTCAGGCCAGATCCCTGGTTTCGGTGAACAGAAGTGTTTTGCTCAGTGAGGAGGGGGTCAGGGCCATGTCTGGGGCTCGCTGACACCCCCCCCACCACCACCCTGGGGTGCTGCAGGCGTTGGAAGCGGTGAACATGCAGCTGCGCCAGCTCTACCCCGACAGCGAGGAGCTTTTCGACATCGTTCTCATGACCAACAACCATGCCCAGGTTGGGGTTCGCTTGATCAACAGCATCAACCACTATGGTAAGCTGAGGGCAGAGCTGTCCTTTGGGTGGGTCTCATGGCTCTTGGGCAGATCATTGTTGCTTGGCAGCAAGATAAGGAGATGCTTTCTCCTGTCTCTTCCTCCAAACTACGCACTGAGCCCACTTCTCCCAAATTTCCTGGGATATGAGTGGAAGTTGGTTGGTGGTGAGGATGCTCTGGCTGCCAGACATGCTGTTGAATGGCAGGACCAAAACTAGCCCCCATCCTGCCAGCTCTTGGGAGGCCACAGGGGAGCAGGGTCGAGGCTTGTTTGGGGGGCGATTAGGCTCATCCCAGGGTCTCTCTGCCCTCAGATCTGTTCATTGAGAGGTTCTGCATGACGGGAGGGAACAGCCCCATCTGTTACCTCAAGGCCTATCACACCAACCTCTACCTCTCCTCCGACGCCGAGAAAGTGAGTGGGGCCATTGAAGAGGGTGAGTCTGGGGTCCAGCTTGGCAGGGGCAGCGGGGGGAGCCTGGAGCCCTCAGGGGGTTGGTGCCAGGAGCAATAGCTCCAAAATCCTTGTCCCTATGTCGATGTGCAGCTAGGGTCTGCCTTGTCCCACATCCCATCCTTGATGCTCCAAAGAGCCCGTAGTTTCCATAGAAATAAGGCTTTCTTTGAGCTCCACAGCTCTTCCAAGGCAAAGGCACTGGTTTTCCCCGTTAATTCTTGTATGCAAAAGGAGGTTTGTCATCTGTGGATTTGTTTTCGCTGTAGAAGGTCTCGGGGCCAAGCTGCAGGCACTACTGGCCTTGCAGTGTTTACCTTCAGCCCAATGTGTTTTGCTCTGCCCCTCAATGGTTAAGCCACGAGGCCGGATCCTGGGTAACTGCAACCTCTTGCCTCACGCTTTACCTCCGCAGGGATCGCTGCAGCCACCATCTTCAGCCCCAGCAAAGACCCGGAGGTGTCGGAGAACCAGCTGCGGGTGGCATTTGATGGTGATGCCGTGCTCTTTTCTGATGAGTCGGAGCAGATCGTGAAGGCTCACGGCTTGGACACGTTCTTTGAGCACGAAAAAGCTCATGAGAACAAGCCTCTGGCACAGGTAGGGCTGGGATGGGGCCAGAAAAAGCCTCTGGGAGAGAGGCAGCCCGCAGGGATGCTCTCACCTCTGGGAACAAGCCAGGGGTTGGTGTATGGAGTGTGAGATGGGATAGGTCAGGATGGCTGCAGCTGGCCCCTCGCTGTTGTTTTTGGGGCCAGCCAGCATGTCTGGCTCTGCTGGGACTGGGTGCCTGGAGGAAGGGATAGCGTGGAGGTCTGCAAAGTGATGGTTTCTTCTTGCTTTGGCAGGGACCCCTGAAGGGCTTCCTGGAGGCCCTGGGGAAGCTGCAGAAGAAGTTCTATTCCAAGGGGCTGAGGATGGAGTGTCCCATTCGCACCTACCTGGTCACTGCCAGGAGCGCGGCCAGCTCGGGAGCCCGGGCCCTAAAGACTCTGCGCAGCTGGGGCCTGGAGACGGATGAGGCTTTGTTCCTGGCCGGGGCTCCCAAGGGGCCGCTGCTGAAAAAGATCCGTCCTCACATCTTCTTCGATGACCAGATGTTCCACGTGGAGGGAGCCAAGGAGATGGGCACCGTCGCTGCCCACGTGCCCTACGGCATTGCCCAGAAGCACAAGCGGTCGACGCAGGAGAAGCAAACCCCGAACAGCAAGTAGCGGAGCTGGCTGGTCCCGCGGCCCCCGGCATGCGGCACCGGCTTTCACCCCG